CCATCAAAGAACGCCTTGTGTCCGTTGTCTACCTGGAGGGAGTTATACAGTTAGTATTTTATATATCCATATCTATACAATGCATTCATATTTGCATGCCATTATGATCAAGCATCAATTTTTTTTATAACATGTTAAAATTCTTTCAAGAGCAATATACCAGAATGCAGTAATAATTGATAATTTCATACATTTTTAACATTGATAATAGCAGTAATAACACTAATAATTTCCATATTGATATGTAGGGATGACCATCTTCTTAAATGACATTTTAAACTGTTTTAAGTTTGAACATTGCTTTATTTCCACGCTTAAACCATTCCACAGCTTCACCCCATGTCCAGATATACAAAAGCTTTTTCTTGTGGTTTTAAATTTTAAACTGGCGGCTGTGGTTGAGTGGTTAGAGCAGTCGTCCTCCAATGTGAGAGTTGGGGGTTCGAATCCACCAGCAGTCACGTGCTGAAATGTCCCTGGGCAAGACACTGAACCCCTCATTGCCTCTGATGTGTGTCCCATCAGTGAATGAATGTGATCTAAAGTCTCATTAGAATGAATTGTTTAATTATCTTTGTAGAGATCTAGTATAGAGCTGTATGAATGGGTAAATGAGGACACAGATTGTTATAAAGCGCTTTGAGTATCTTGAAATAAGATATAAAGGTGCTATGTAAGTACAGTCCATTTACCATATAAAGTTTTAAATTCACCTTTTTCCCTTAAATTATAATTCAATTCTGGATTTGACAGGGAGCCAATGGAGAGAAACTAAAACTGGAGAAACATGATCTCTCCCAGTAACTCCAGTTAAGACTCTGGCAGCAGCATTTTGGATCAACTGAAGACATTTTAAAGATGCTTTTGGACATCCAGATAATAAACCATTGCAATAGTCCAGTTTAGACGTGACAAATGCATGGACCAGTTTTTCTGCATCATTTTTAGATAAGATGTTTCTAATGTTAGTGATATTACGCAGGTGGAAGAAGGCAGCTCTAGTAACGTTTTTAATGTGGGGGATAAAAGACATGTCCTGATCAAAAATAACACCAAGATTTTTAACATTAGAGCTGGAGGACAGATTAATGCATCTAAGGAGGGAGAAATAATGAAAAATTAATTCCTAAGGTGCTCAGGTCCAAAAACCAAAACCTCAGTCTTAAAGGAGAAAATTAAGAGTTATCCAGGTTTTTATGTCTTTAAGACATGCTTGTAGTCTAAGTAGCTGATTGGATTCATTGGGTTTAATGGACAAATATAATTGTGTGTCATCATAACAAAATAATCTTTTCATGATATATTTTGAGATACATATTTGCTGATTAGAATTAATTATTTGGCTGATAATGTGACATTTCAGTTTATCCTCAACTTTTCTACATTATTTTGGCCTCACAGGAGCCGGGCTGCAGTATCTGCAAAGAGAAAATGAGTTTAATGGCTTTTCTGAACCAGGGGTAAAAAAGGGCATAGATCAGAGGGTTTAGACAAGAGTTAAAATAAAGGAGAAAAAACAAAAATGATGCATATGAAGTACTGGTTACATTAACTTGAACAAGAGAGTAAACATAATATGGGCATAAACATATTAGATAAACAACAACAAGAACACCAAGAGTCCTAGCAGCTTTTAACTCTGATTTCTTGAATACATTCACTGAAAGTTGGTTTGTAACAGCTGTAATGTTAGAGCGCATGGCACGAGCCTGAGACATAGCCACCACAAACACCCTCATGTACAGAACTACAATGACTGTAACCGGGGCAATAAAGTTCAAAATGATGTCAAAAAATCCTGCAATAGGGTTGGTGACAAATGCACATTCTCCAATGCAGGAATTACTCCTACCTGGCTGAATCAGGTCATCTTTCATAAACAGAATCCTGTAAAAAACACTAAATATCCAACACAGACAAACACAAACTTTGGTTTTCGATTCAGTGATTTTGGTGGAGTACTGAAGAGGCTCACAAATAGCCACATGGCGGTCAACTGATATAAGAACAATGTTTCCAATGGAAGCAGAGAAAATTGTAGTAGCTGCATAAATATAAAAAGAGCATAGGGTATCCCCCAAAAACCAACAACTATTTTTTCTATAAAGTTCTCCTGGCATCAACAGGAGACCAACAAGAAAGTCAGAGACAGCCAGAGAGAGGAGGAGGATGTTAGTGGAGGTATGCAGCTGCCTGCAAGGACAAAACACAAATATCTACATTACCCAATAAATTAAGTACTGGTGGAAAAAGTCAAATTTTAAATGCTTCCGAGAAGTTATTGTCTGCCTGAAGTGGGAGATTGAGATGATGATGAGCAGGTTGAGAGCTGCAGTGATCAGAGAGATGAAGTACGACAAGGTGTTTACAACCACAGTTTCTGTCCAGTCACGGCTGGATATCCTGCAGGAGCTGTTGATGAGTTGTGGGAAACAGAATTCCACTCCATCCCGACTCTCCATCACTGGACAGCTTTCGACCAGAATGTTTTGCTATACACCATATTTAACTCATTTTGTTATACCTTTCTGTTTTGATTCCCCTCCCTTTAATTAGTCCCTGTCAGTATTCATCCCTCACTTTGCATAACTCCTCAGTGACTTTCTTATTTACTGAACCAACTTTATCAAGTGTAGCAAATACGAAGGTGAGATGGAGGACGAAGGGTGACACTCTCTCCATCAGCACTCCACTACATTTGTTTATTTATTTTTCACTAGTTAAAGTGGAGCACCAGCTGGTCAGTTTACTGACCAACAACAACTTAATTAATATATTCACCCTTTAATAACTAGAACTCAGTCGCTGGAGTAGTTTCCATTAATAACAGGGAGTCCCAGAGCACAACAAACGAGTATTCATCTGAATGAAAAGACCAAAGTTGTCTTTGAATTTTTATTACAAAATAATCAAACTAAAAATCAACAATAATAAACAAACTAACAATAATTAATTAAACAAGGCTTAATTCTCTTATCTAAGACAAAATTAACTCTTTGAGCAGGAATTATTTTGATTTTTATACACGTAAAAATTTAAACAATGTTCGAGTATTTTAATAAATATTTTACTTTGGATTTTGGTTAAAATAAGTTATTTAATGTGACCAGATAAGTCATTTATTATCACTGCAAGCCAGGAAATGGTTTAACAAGTGGAATCAGCTAATATGGCATAACCATACCAAGATATGCATTTATGCCACCAGGTTTCTGCTCCTTACCGGGTCAGTTTGAAGGCACCAGATCACCCATCTTTCTGGGGTTTCTGCTGGTGGATCAGACCAGCGACACCACGAGGAGGACTCACCAGGAACTGTAGCTGAAACATCACTGTGACTGCTTCAGAGGTCCACAGCTGACGAGGAGGTGCACTGTCCATCGGCACCTTCAGCCGGCTTAGACTTCAACATGAGTCTTGCAGTGAGAACAATGCTTCATCTTCTGTAATTACTTCTATTTTGCCTCTAACAAATTGTAATTGAGCAACATATTTATCTGCTTGGGATTGAATGAGTGGACCTTGGGACGACCACCAGGTTCGGGAGTCCAAGGCGAACTGCTTTCCACATAAAAGAACATTGTGTAAAACAACAGCTCTGAGAAGATTGTTTTGACTACTCTCAGGAACATTATGACTTCCCTCTGAAGAAAACAGCTTCCAGCTCAAAGAACACTTATGACAGGTGTCTCTGAAGGAATGAGTTATCTTCTGAAAAACAGGAGAAAGAAATAAGTTATTCACATTGTAATATTTCACATGATTTCATTATAATGATTGAAAACAATAATCAAAACCATTCGTTACCACTTGTAAATCAAATTGAAAAAAAACCCCCACTTGATTAATGATTTGTTTTTCTTTCTTAGAAACGTAGGAAAAATAAGGTAAACATTAGTCAGACTGTAGCCGACTCTGTATCCAAGGACGGGAAATGTGTGGAAAATATCAGACATTATAGAAGTCAAATGTAACTTTAAAGAACACAGTTCATAGGGAGTTTGGAAGACACCCAAGGGTCAGGGGTCATAGTTAGAGGGGTACAGCTTCCTGCTACACATGATTTGGATAAAGGTCAGAATTGCCAGCTGTGCTAGCTGTTTGTAACTCATGTTTAACAACCTAAACACATGTAGTTGTAATATTTTATCACAATTCTCTACTTCCTCAGGCGGCTGAGACGAGCTGGTCTGGGAAGCTCAGTCCTCACCTCCTTCTACAGGTGTGCAGTGGAGAGCATCCTGTGCTCCAGCATCAATGTGTGGCATGGAGGCTGCACAGCTGCAGAAAGAAAAGCTTTGCAGAGAGTGGTGAAGGCTGCACAGAAGATGTTGGAGTCAGTCTCCCCACCATCACAGACATCTACACCTCCAGATACAGGAAGAGGTCCACCTGCATCATGAAGGACCCCACTCACCCAGCACACACACTTTTTGCCCCGCTCCCCTCAGGCAGGAAGTTGAGGAACATTAAGTGTAGAACCACTAGACTGAGGAACAGCTTCTACCCTGAGGCTGTTACTCTCATGAATCCCTAACCAGAAAAATCACTGCAATGCCACTTTAATTGAACATTTGACACTTTGTCCATGCTGCTGATTTATTACCCATATGTTGCTATATTCATACCCATCTGCTCACAACAAACTCATGTTCAGGCTGCTGTTTATACACCTTATTTATTTTAAATTATTATTGTTTAGCGTATATCTTAGATCCTTGTATATGGTTTCTTTAATGAACTTTATATTTTTGCCATTTTTGGATGTAACTGGGAACTCGAGCACACAATTTTGTTCCACCTCATGTACCACATGTGATGTGATTGACAATGAAATCACGTTGAACCTTGACCCTTGAACAGAAAATTCTAATAAATACATACAGTATTTTCCATCATATACGACAATGCAGTAGCTACTTAGAGCAAGTATAAAACTTTTCAAAGAAAAAGGTTAGGATTACAGGTTACAGGTTAGGATTAGATTATTTACAACATGGTGTTTAAGGAGAATTGTAAGTATCAAATTTAGTTTGCTATATGAGAGGCGCTGAAGTAAAAAAGTGAATCAGAAATGATGCATGTGTAGTACCTGTCACATTAAACTCAATGAGGGAGTAACAGAAATATTAGATATACAGTTACGAGAACACCAAGAGTCCTGGTTGCTTTTAACTTTGTTAAATTGAATATTCACCAAAGCGTGCATTACGCCTGCTGAACTGAATCAGCTCGTCCTTCATATAGAAAATGCTGCAGAAAGCTGCATCAAGTTAATTGAGAAAAACAGTGTTTCACTCAGTGGAAAGTGATTCTGGTGGAATATAGAAGAGCAACATAACTGAATATTATGAGAAATATGCCTTCAATTGAACCAGAGGAGAAACAAGAGAACATTATAAAGAACAGATTGTATTCCCAAGAAATCAGCAAGTTGTGTTTCTTTAAAAAAATCATCCACACATCAACAGTAGTCCCACAAGAACGTCTGACATAACCATAGAGAGAATAATGGTCTAGTTAGCAATAAATAAATAAATTCTGTCAATCATTTGTGAATTATTATTGGAAAAAATTCTGCTTAAGGTTGGAGATCGGGGTTATGATGAGCATGCTGAGAAACTACACTGATTAGAAAGATCCAAAACAGCACAATATTTCAAAGAACTGGTTTAGAGCAGTGCAATGTTGGCTTCCTGTAGAAGCTGTTGATAAAATGTGGGAAACACAAGTCTGCTCCATCCTGGGTGTCCATCACCAAACATCTGCTGTTCTGAAGTAAATCACGTTTCAGCACAAAAAAAGAAACTGTCCAGATGACCTGAGTGAAAAATGTTGGATTGTATACCTGGATTATTGAGCATGGACTTTGTTGTTTAAATCACCTTTAGTTAAGAAAAGCTGGCCAGTTGCAGCAACTTTCTCTTATAGTGCACAGTGTATATGTAAATCCCAAAACAAATCAGAAATACCTCAATTTAAATGAGAACAGGTTTCGTTATTTTATTAATAATAACCTCCGTTATGGTGGATAGAATATGATTCACAGGTTTTGAGTTTGTAAAAACACATAGTCCAAGCTAAAATTGATAAAGATAATGAAACATTAGGCTTATTAGACTATTAACTAGATACAATTCTCTGTAAACATGTCTCTAATGGATGTTTTTAGAAGAAAAAAAAAGGTGAATCTCAAAAACTAAAGAAATAATATCAGGACTTTATCAAGTAATAATGTCTGGAAATAATTGCAACACATGTTTATGTGTGGTGTCTGAGTCATCTCTTCATGCTGAAATGTGTTATTCTAAGCACATTTGATTACATGACACCCATGAGGCTGTGATGTCATCAAATCAGTCACTTCCACAAAGGTGTGAACAAACTTTCTGTCTAGAGAGTTTCAGTGAAGAGACTACAGAACACAAACATGTTTATTCTCCCTGGACATCCGAGTGTGAATCTGTGTCCTTTTGTTTTCAGGTTGTTATAGGCAACAGGATGCAGACAATATCCAGATGTTGTGTAGAAGGAAAGTTAACTTTCTTTGACAAACACATCTTTAAAAATATTTTTTCACACCGTATTTTACAAATCGGATCCCAAAAAAGTTTGGACACTAAACAAATTGTGAATAAAAACTGAATGCAATGATGTGGAGGTGCCAACATCTAATATATTATTCAGAATAGAACAAAAATCACAGATCAAAAGTTTAAACTGAGAGAATGTTTCATTTTAAAGGGAAAAATCTGTTGTTTCCAAATTTCATGGCGTCAACAAATCCCAAAAAGTTGGGACAAGTCCATTTTTACCACTGTGTGGCATCCCCCCTTCTTCTTACAACACTCAACAGATGTCTGGGGACAGAGGAGACCAGTGTCTCAAGTTTAGAAATAGGAATGCTCTCCCATTCATGTCTAATACAGGCCTCTAACTGTTCAGTCGTCTTGGGCCTTCTTTGTCGCACCTTCCTCTTTATGATGCTCCAAATGTTCTCTATAGGTGAAAGATCTGGACTGCAGGCTGGCCATGTCAGTACCCGGATCCTTCTCCTACGTAGCCATGATGTTGTTATTGCTGCAGAATGTGGTCTGGCATTATCGTGTTGAAAAATGCAGGGTCTTCCCTGAAAGAGATGACGTCTAGATGGGAGCATATGTTGTTCTAGAACCTGAACATAGTTCTCTGCATTAATGGTGCCTTTCCAGACATGCAAGCTGCCCATGCCACAAGCGCTCATGCAACCCCATACCATCAGTGATGCAGGCTTCTGAACGGAGCGTTGATAAAAACTTGGGCTATCCTTGTCCTCTCTGGTCCGGATGACATGGCGTCCCAGTGTTCCATAAAGAATTTCAAATCGTGACTCATCTGACCACAGAACAGTCTTCCATTTTGCCACACTCCATTTTAAATGACCCCTGGCCCAGTGCAAACGTCAGAGCTTGTGGAGCTTGCTTAGAAATGGCTTCCTCTTTGCACTGTAGAGTTTCAGCTGGCAACGACGGATGGCACAGTGGATTGTGTTCACTGACAATGCTTTCTGGAAGTATTTCTGAGCCCATTCTGTTATTTCCTTGACAGTGGCATTCCTGTTTGAGGTGCAGTGATGTTTAAGGGCCCGGAGATCACGAGCATCCAGTAGAGTTTTACGGCCTTGACCCTTACGCACAGCGATTGTTCCAGATTCCCTGAATCTTTTGATGATGTTACGCACGGTTGATGATGATAACTTAAAAGTCTTTGCTATTTTACGCTGGGTAACACCATTCTGGTATTGCTGCACTGTCTTTCTGCGCAACAATGGTGGAATTGGTGATCCTCTTACCATCTTGGCTTCTGAGAGACACTGACACTCTGAGAAGCTCTTTTTATACCCAGTCATGTTGTCAATTGACCTAATTAGTGTTAATTGGTCTTCCAGCTGTTCGTTATATGCTCAATTTCCTTTTTCCAGCCACTTTTTGCTACTTGTCCCAACTTTTTTGGGATTTGTTGACACTGAAATTTTGAATCAACATATTTTTCCTTTAAAATGTTACATTTACTCAGATTAAACTTTTGATCTGTCATCTATGTTATATTACGAATAAAATATTGACATTTGCCATCTCCACATCATTGAATTCAGTTTTTATTCACAATTTGTTTAGTGTCCCAACTTTTTTGGAATCCGGTTTGTACATTGATATAGTATCAGTTATGATTGAAAACCTAACGTTGATTTAACATGTAAGTCACCGACCACTTTGTTTAATTTAAATGTCAGGCTTCAACATTGATTCAATATTTCTGCCTAACCATATTTCAACATTGATTCAATTGTATTTTGCTGTCTGGGTATGAACAATTGATTGTAGGTTTCTTTCATTTGCGCCCTCATCAGGGGTTGCCACGGTGAGTAAACTCACAAAGATTTGGCAACTGTTTTACACTGGATGCCATTCCTGATGCAACCTGGGCTCAAACCCACAACCTCAGGAATACAAGACTACTGGCCACAGGCACTGACCACCAAGCTACCGCAGCACAAGAATAATTAACTGTGCAGTCATAATCAGACAAACAAATACAGACTATACCTCTGAACTCCCACACAAAAGTGAGAACAATTTCAAAACACTTGTTTGCAGACTTTTTAATTCCAACATTTTTAAACGTGTAGAAATTTCCTTAATTTTGAGGCTATAAATGAAGTTTTGTAAGAAGTTTGTAGGGGTGAGCTGCCATTTTATTGTAAGCCCCTTTTCCTCCTGTTTTTAAATGGTAAATGGACTGTACTTATATAGCGCCTTTCTATCTTACTGAGATACTCAAAGTGCTTTACACTACAATCTGTGCCCTCATTTACCCATTCATACAGCTCTATACTAGATCTCTACAAAGCTACGTGAATTCTAATGAGACTAATCAGAGCTTAAGATCACATTCAAACACTGATGGACACACATCAGAGGCAATGAGCAGTTCAGTGCCTTGACCAGGGACACTTCGGCATGTGACTGCTGGTGGAATTGAACAACACCCCCCCACCACCACCACCAACACTTGCATTGGAAGATGACTCCTCTAACCGCTCAGCCACAGCCGCCCTGTCAAATAGTGAGGCAAGAGACTTGTGTTTTATTTTATTGAAGAGAAAGTACAGTGGGATAGTTAAAACCCAGTATGTAGGTAATATGTTGTTAATGAGTTTTATAGTTTAACATTTGTTGACTGGAGTGTCCAAAGGTAGCACTCCTTCCTGCACTACAGCCTGATCAGCGCCATTAGGTTGTCCTTCTTGTTGGAGCGACTGAACATTTATTGTACAGCTGGTAAACATGGTTTATGTTTAGAATTTATGGTCTCCAGTGAGATCATTGGTTTGTCAGTTTAGAGTAGTCCAGTGTGGCTAAGGGCTAACAACTGGGCCCGTGTGTAAACACAGACCTGTGGCTAGTGGGGTGTCCTACTATGCCTTAGGCATATTCTAAAAGTAACAAAGAAAGTAGAGCAAACATTAAACAACTGGAAACCCTAGTAGCATATTTAAGTAGGTGTTTGATGAAACACCAGGAAAAGGAAGAAAAACAGATAGTGCTGTTGTAACTCTGCCACTCGCAGTGCCGTGGTAATTTCATGAAACATTTATAATACTATAGTTTTGTTAATGTAGTGGAAACATTCTGACAAATAAACAGAACTCACAAGGGGTGACTTAAAAAAATGCTCTAGCTGGCTGAAGGCATGTGGTTCCAAGATTTAAAACTGCATAAAATTGGTATAATACTATTAATTAGCTCAATCTGCTCACCCCTACTTTACTGATGCAACATCTGGATGAAACGCATCACGGCCGTTCAGACTCAAGTCACTTGAAAAACATCAGTAAAGGTCCATGCACTGACCACAGTTGGATTTTCAGGTTTACACGTGTTCAGTTGTTACTTCACGGAGCGCTGCTGCGAAAAGAAAAGATACAGGAACACCGTGTCCTTTAATAATAACCGTAACATTCGCTAGAATAAAGTTTGTGAGTTTCTCATTTCATTACCGTCACTTCTCTCAAAGTAACATTAAGATCCATCCAGCGTTTCAATAAACACAAATGCACACATGGCTACAAACATTTCTGTCTGTCTTAACCTTTCAGTGGCAGGTGATAAAAATACTCTCAATTATAGCAGTTTTATTTCCAAAGTCTGAATGTTTGTTTGTCAAGTCGTCTCTGGAACATCTAATCATTCTAAAGCCGACACAGGTCCACACATGCTGAAAAGATTTGCATCGTCCCACAGTTCCTTTTATTAACATGCTGTTTGCACATGTAGGACTCCCCACACAACCAGGTCCTGTTAGAGTTGTCCCTTCAGACAGAGCAGGCCATCTGCATACTGGAACTGCTCACTGTTCTCATACTCCAGCATGTCCAGGGCCACCTCGCAGCTTTCTTTGACCACACGCTCTTCATCTTTACAGTAACTCTGCAACACACTCAGACATTCCTCTTTTCCAATGGAGCCCAAAGCCTCTGCCGCTTCGTGGCGCACCATAGGGTTCTCTTCTGAACACTCCAGAGCTGCCCGAAGGGCCGGTACCGCCGCCGGGTGCTGCATCTGACCCAGGACGTAGCCAATCTCATGACGGAACAGAGCGCTGGAGCTCTGCAGGCCTGGAAGCAAAAATCAACAGAAACTTGTTATCTGTTATGCACAAAGAAGAGTAAATATAAATGCTGATGAAGGTGAAACGGAGCTCTTACAGCAAAAAAACCCAAAAAACAAAAAACGCAAGCTCAAAGTACAAAAGCTTAACTAAAAGGAGCAAAAGGCTAGCTAAAAGCAGCTTAAGAAGCAGAAGCACATTAAAAAAGCTTTTCAGAAGGAAGTAAAGAGATCGTGTATTATCAAGTGCTGAATGTTTTGAAAAGTATTAAAGGTCACGACTCTCATCTCCTGAATGAGTCAAACGTTTAAAGCCATGAGCATCTGAAACAGTTTGCAGAAGTAAAGACAACAAAAAACTCACAGGAAAACTCAAGTAAATGAAGAATCAAAATGATAGCCAAACATAGATCAGAAATGTTTGTTTCTGAAAGATTTACGATTGTTTTCATTGAGGAGAGATCAAAACACAGAGTTAGATTCTCTTGTTAAAAGATACCAAGATATCTGCAGGTTTCAACAAGTCAAACTTGACTTTTTAAAGCCTGGTATCCACAGGTCTGGTTCTTGTTGTAGCCTGTTGTGTCCGGTTCTAGTGGGACCTCTATTTTTGTGTCTCCACTTTGCCTATAGTTCCCGTTTAGTGGGCGGATTGTTCACCTCTAGTGGGCGGATTATTAATATCAACGCACCTTACCAGCTGGTGGCGGTAGTGCTACATTAAGCTCTTTTCTAAGCACCACTAACATGTATTAGAAGAAGAGCTGGAAAACAACACACAACCAAAATGGATGACCTCCGTGAACTTGAAGCAGAACCAGCCGCACAGCCCGTCCTGGTCGCTGTCCCGCAAGATGGAGAGCAGGGCCGAGGTGTCAGAGATGCTCTGATGGAGTACCTCATGAGCTGTAACTTATCCTAATTCCACCCCTTAATCTTTTTTTTACCTCCCCAGCCTTCCTTACATACAAGTGAACGTTAAAGTGTTGATTTGAAAATAAACATGGATTAATAATTATTCTTGTTTGTTTAATGTACAGACATGCCTTATTACCAGGTTCATGTAAAAATGGCAAAACAAACACTGCTGCTGTGCTTCTATCACATATGCTGCGTTTTTTAGTGGCTGTAGTTTTAGTAAAACTGTATACTCCTTAATGTTTGTTTTTAACAAAGAACCAAAACCTACAACAAGAACTTTATATTTGTTTATGCATATATACATTAATCTATTTTAATTTATATATATATATATATATAATGTCTTCAGCCAGAGACTTCTTCAGATCCCTTGTAAGACAGACGCTACAAGAGATCCTTCCTGCCCACAGCATCAGCATCTAGAACAACTCTTTAATGAAACCAGGATGAGTTACATTTAATTTCCCTCTGGGATTAATATTCTTTTTGTAATTTGATTT